AAGTTAGGCCACCATGTTAAAATGACCTAAAAACACACCAGGTGAACATCAGATCATTTCTAAGCTAAAAAGAATCGTGGCCTAGAAAATTCATGTTGTGAAAGTGGGGCCACCAAGCCAGATAGCCTATAAAGTTTGCCTGGGTAAGTTCTTCCATCATTCTAGAAGTCCTTGGAAAAAATGGTAACGATACGATTTCTTACAAGTAATTCCTGCGGTTAATAGCAATTTTTGTCGACAAATTGTCGATAAATGTTGTTTTTATCGACAATTTGTCGGTAATTTTCCGATAAATTTACCGGTAAATTTGTCGATAAATTTGTCGAAAAGGGCGTTTGTCGATAATTTGATCGGCCTCGTGAGGGGCATTTTTCTGAGTCTTTCATGTCCTGCCCTCGTTTTATTACACCTGATCAATAAACAAAATTAAAAAGGCTCTAGTACCATCACAAGGAAAAAAGGAAAAGAAGAAGAAGAAGCTTAACCTAAAAGCACTGAGTGGGCGAAAAAGAAGAAGAAGAAGAAGAAAAAGGAGGAAAACCCGAATGAATAATGGGGGTCCTTCTCGTCCTAAAAAGGTGGAGAGATGGTGAGGAAGGGGGGAAGAATGTAACATTGTTTAGTGGGTTCTTCTCCTTCTTCTTCTTTTTTCTGCACTCTTTTCCCTTTTCCCTATTCTAGAAGGAGCAGTCCATTACACTGTGAGCTCCCCCTTCTTCTTCTTCTTCTTCTTCTTCCTCAAAGGTTTCAATGTTTCAAAATAGGAAAAGAAGAAGAAGAAGAGAAATAAGTGCTAATTGGATACTATGGAGGGACAGAAATGGCACATTTTCTCGTTCTCTCTCTCACTCACTCTTTTCGCCACAAATTGAAATTTGACGACATTGATGATGGAGAGAATTGGAAGAAAAGGATTAGTGGGTTCGATGGACGATGGCGATTTGTGATTGTTGGTTGCAAATCCAGGTACAATTCGATGGGGGAGAGGGACCAAAAGAAAAGGGAAATTACCCTTTGAAGAACGAGTCTGTTAGCTTATCTGGGAACCGAGAACAGACTCGTTTAGCATTGACTAGGTGGGAAACGCTTCAATAATCAAGATTCAACTTTAGGCTAATTTACCTCGGCTCCCATAAGAGATATTAAAAATTTGTTAACTGATAAAATGTTAGTGATAATATGGTAAACATTTTATCACTTGACAGATTCTTGATATAAGACGGTTGAAATTTGAAGAATTTTTTTCGCAAGTATAGAAATAGCTCGAATTGATGATTTCCTGTACCATGTATTATTTATTTCAGTTTCACCAGATTTCTGAATTTTCTGTACAAAAATTGTAAATATTCCAGAAATTAGTCAAAGTTATAGAAAATGTTTATTTGATGGACCTGAAAATGATATTGAACAAAAAAATAGATGGACAAATTAAAATTGGACAGTGTAGACAGTTGGGACAGTGTGGATAGTGTAGTTGTAGTTTGCTCAAATCCAGGTGACAACCAATCTTCCTGCATTTTGAACTTTTCGTTGCTCTGTGCATTATTTTTTTCTAGAGGTACAGAATCGGTTCGCCTCCCGATTTTGTACTTTTTCAAAGGAAAAAGAGGTCACGCCAAATTCAAGTATTATTTGAATTGTGCCACGAGTTACAAAATCGGTAGGCAAACCCATTCTGTACCTAATGAAACAATTCAAATTTTTTCTGATTTCACCTGTCTTTTTGTGGATTTTGAAACATTTCTCATGAGATCCGATTTTAGACAAATTTTTTGATCGACATCAACTTCTACAATACGCTTTTCCGGGTGAGAATAAATTCGGTTCTTCAAACTGATATAAATTCTTGGTTTTGATGATTTTATTGTTTCGAAAGTTTATTTATATCAGTTTCAAGAATAAAACCATCAAAATCAATAATTTGTGATAACTGAAAATTTTGATGTTTTGAGACTATGATTCTATATAACATTCAATCCGGCGTTAACATTAAGAACCATCAAAGCGTCTACAGTTATTCTGTCAAATTATTGATTTTTTCGAAACAATACAACCATCAAAACCAAGAATTTATATCAGTTTGAAGAACCGAATTTATTCTCACCCGGAAAAGCGTATTGTAGAAGTTGATGTCGATCAAAAAATTGGTCTAAAATCGGATCTCATGAGAAATGTTTCAAAATCCACAAAAAGACACGTGAAATCAGAAAAAACTTGAATTGTTTCATTAGGTACAGAATGGGTTTGCCTACCGATTTTGTAACTCGTGGCACAATTCAAATAATACTTGAATTTGGCGTGACCTCTTTTTCCTTTGAAAAAGTATAAAATCGGGAGGCGAACCGATTCTGTACCTCTAGAAAAAAAATAATGCACAGAGCAACGAAAAGTTCAAAATGCAGGAAGATTGGTTGTCACCTGGATTTGAGAAAACTACAACTACACTATCCACACTGTCCCAACTGTCTACACTGTCCAATTTTAATTTGTCCACCTATTTTTTTGTTCAATATCATTTTCAGGTCCATCAAATAAACATTTTCTATAACTTTGACTAATTTCTGGAATGTTCATACAGAAAATTTCTGAATTCAAAAAAGGCAAGACAACACTGGACGAAAAGTGTCGAAAAGACAAACTTTTTGAAAAACGCTTGTTCTTTCTATTAAATCTGTTCTTTTGTACATAAAATATGAAAAATTCTGATTTTCAAATATGAGAAAAAAAATTCTTCAAATTTCAATCGTCTTATATCTGTTAGGAGAGCTGAGATAATTGAGCTTGAATTTAAGGTATAGGTTCTGAAAAATTCCAGAGCAAAAATTGTGATTTCCCTAATTTTCAGAATTTTTATACATTTTTTTCAATTTCTGGATCTGAAAGATCAGAAAAATTGGGAAATTTGAATAATTTGAAGAATTGCAGAATTTCAGATTCTCAAGTTATTATAATCTCAGAATTTCAGAATTTTTCAGAAAATCAGAATTTGCGAATTTCAAATTTTCAATTTATCATAATTTCAGAATTTCAGAATTTTTCAGATTTTCAAATTATCAGAATTTCTGAATTTCTGAATTTCTGAATTTATCAGAAATTCAGAACTTTCGAATTTCAGATTCTCAATCATAATTCCAGAATTTCAGAGATTTTCATAAATTCAGAATTCGCAAATTACAGAATTTCAGAAATTTAAAAACTCGGAATTTCAAAAGTTAAAAAGTGGAAAATTTCAGAATTTCAGAATCTCAGAATCTCGAAATCTCCACAGCTTCTTAGAATTCGAAATTCAAAGTTATATCTGTCAAAGTTTCAATATTTGAAAAAAAAATTAAAAATTCGAGAAATAAATCAGACAAGAAACTCCCTTGACAACGCGACCAAAACAAGGAGTCTAGAAACATTCAGCAGGTGAAAATATTCCGAAAATTCATATAAAATGTTCCGGCGATTTCCTCGTTCCCATTGTCCAAAAACGGCCCACCGGCGGCTCATCGGCGTACAAAACAAAAATTAATAAAAAATGTTCACAGGGATCCTGAAAAACAAAATTTTATTGAATTTTTTTCCCGATTTTTCCATTCTTTTCCCCGTATTTCCAGCCGTCATTTTCTTTATGCAAACAGAGGAACTGAAACAGGAAAATACGCACACTTTTTATTGAAATTTCCCTTATCAATTTTTTCATTCTTCTTCTTTCTCTTTTTCTTTTCCCTCCATTCTACAATTCGTATGCACTACTATGCTACGTTTTGCTACTATTCTATGTCTTATTTTTGCGATTTCGAACGCTTTAACGACGAAATCATCAGTTAATGATGATTCGCAGGTACAGTAATCCTAAAGTTTTATTTTCCGGACTATTTTTTCGAAGTTTTGAAATTCGAAGATATTGTAATTCCAAAACTCAGAAATTCGAAAATTCGAAAATTGAGAATTTCCGAAATATTGAAATTCTGAATTCCTGAGATTCTGAAATTCTGAAATTCTGAAATTCTGAAATTCTGAAATTCTGAAATTCTGAAATTCTGAAATTCTGAAATTCTGAAATTCTGAAATTCTGAAATTCTGAAATTCTGAAATTCTAAAGATCGGAAATTCAGAAATTCTGAAATTCTGAAATTCTGAAATTCTGAAATTCTGAGAAACTGAAATTCTGAAATTCTGAAATTCTGAAATTCTGAAATTCTGAAATTCTGAAATTCTGAAATTCTGAAATTCGGAAATTCTGAAATTCTGAATTTCTGAAATTTTAAATTCTGAAAATCAGAAATTCTGAAATTCAAAAATTCAGAAATTCTGAAGATCTGAAGATCTGAAAATCTGAAAATCTGAAAATCTGAAAATCTGAAACTCCGTGATTCTGAGATTCTGAGATTCGGAAATTTTGAATTCTGAAATTCTGAAATTTGGAAATTATGAGATTCAGCGATTCTCGAATTTTCTGGGATTTCAGATTTCGTGATTTTTGAAACTCAATTTTCTCTCTTTCTTGATTCTTTGTTTGGAGAAAAATCAGCATTCCAAAGTTGCATGAAAGTTGCATTGAAATGTTATTTTCTAGAATTCATAAAACCCAAAATTAAAACAAAAAATTCAGATTGGCCGAATCCTAACATTCGAATCGGAATCTCAGCTTTCATGTTTCTACGAACCACTTGAAGTCGGAATGATTCTGAACATTGGCATGCGGGTGTGTGTTTTTTAAAGGAGAGAATTTCCTTCTTTTCATATCTAAACCAGGACCGACAGGCATCTCTAGCGTTTTATGTATAAGGAAGATATTTAAAAATCCGGATTGAGCTCAAAGATATTCTATTGTTTTCTTTTGTAACTTTTTTAGTTCTGAATTCTTTTTCAATCTTTTTGAAAATTATATTTCTGAATTCAGCACGTTTAGAGCTTCAAAATTTGTATACTTACGACTTTAAAAATTCTGAATTTAGGAACCCTATGCGCCTTTAAAAGGGGCACCGCTACCAGCCGAGCTAGCTCTCTCAGAGACTGGCACTTTGAGCTCATTTATCTCGAGTTCTATGAGAGATATTAGTGTTAGTGAACTCTCATTTTTAGACAATTTAAACAATTTTGAAATACTTTCGTAGGGCTTCAAAAATTGGCTCTATTGCGCCCGAAACCGGCAACTTTGAGCACATATATCTAATTTACTGTGAAATATACCAAAACTTTGTCAACTGATGAAATGTTTGTCATAATATCAGCGACATTTTATCAGTTTACAGATCCTTAATATATTTTATGGAAATTGAGATAATTGAGCTTGAAATAAACCTATAAATAGCTCATTTATAACATTGATGGCGTTCTGATGACCTAGAAATTCAAAAAAAAAACTATTCCAGCCAACATTCGATTCGGTGTACCCAATGCAATTCCGTGTCACATCGCCAAGCGGGGACTTTTCGGACTGGGCAAGTGGAGATGGCGATGCTCATATGGAGCATAATACGACAGAAAATGGAGCATATGAGATTTGTGTTTATACGAGAAGACCAATGAAAATCAACTTGTATTTGCAGTTTTATTCGCCGGAGAAGGTGAAATATTACAAAAATTTGGTTTAAAAAATTCAAAAATTTTGAAACCCGTTTTTCAGATGGAAAAGTCGCTGAACGCCTTCTTCGACCATAACAAAATCTCCAAGGACATTCAGAATTCGGTGATGGCTTCAACGCATCGAATTTATAAAATTTATTATCATTTGAAGTTTTATAATCAGGTAGGACTTTTAGAACATAGGGTTCAAAGTTACCATAATTCATTTTTATGAAAGTTTTGGTCTTCCGTTAGAAAAATGCTAAATACCACTGTCCGCACAGTATGCTGAATCGAGTCGCAATCACTAGATGGATGGGAGTGTGTGTGGATCGGTGAAACTCGTATTTTTAAGCGAATTCCCCCATTGTCTTCTTTTCCGTTTTATTGTTTTTTTTTAAGATGAATTTATTCAAATTTGAATGAAAACTGCCACGAGTATTATTCAAAGCCAAAACAATGAGTTTCGAACAAACAGAAATATCGTAATACCTGTATTAGAAGGTCCAACCCTTCTATTGTTCCAATCCCCTCTCGGACAGCCCTTCTATTACGGGGCCTTCTATTTTTTCCAGCCATTATTCTCAGAAATTTTCGCCGAAACATTTGGCGAATTCTGGGCCCTTCTATCAATGGAGCCCTTCTAATACAGGTTCTACGGTATGTTATCTGAAATATAAACAAATTGCACGTTTCGAAAGCAGGCAGTTCGAAGTGTGAAAGTGTGATAATAAATGCACTAAAAAGCTTACTATTATTTTCTTAAAGGAGGCCAGACACCAAAAAAAAAATTTTCCTGATATTTTGCTACGGGGGCGCGAAGGCGCCTGACGACCGATGGTTTACATAAGCGCGGCGCGATTTCGTCCCCCGAACTCTCCCCCGAAATTTTTGCTGTCTCGCCTCCTTTAAAGTAAATGTTGTAATTCATAAAAAAAATGAAAAAAGGCGCTCTCATAGAGTTTTCTCATCACACTTTTGTTCTGCCCCTACCTCTTGCCTGAATAGGGGTAACCATATAATCCTGGCGCTGTGTGGAACCGAACCCGTGGGTTGCGGCGCGCTGACCAGCAGCGTTCACCATAATACCACGAGCGTCATCAACAAACAATGTAATAAACACTGTAAAGTATTACTCGCTTCTATGAGATTATCTCTTTTTGGGAGGGCACCGCGGCGACTTTTCGAGAGCCATCAATTTGAAAATAACAGCTTTGCGATTTTTCGACAGAAACAACGCAATGCTTTGGTTTCTAAGTTTTAAAGTGGCTTTGATGAAGTTCTGAAATGATCCTTTTCTGGGGATAAAGAAAACCGTACTGAACCAGACACCTCAAAATAACTATATTTAACTAAATTGGTCATTTCTGATTCCCGCAAAAATCATTTCACATTTTCCAGATGGTAGTCCGTGACGAAGCTCTCCAACTCCACAATTCAGAATTCATCCAAAACTACAATATCGCATTCTGCATCGTCGCAATTTTGATCACTATTTCACAAGTGTACTATGTCCGGAAGTTGTTCAGAATCGATCCGAATAGAATTCAGTTTTAGATCTGTTGTGTTTTTTTAAAAGTTATTCTAAAATAAATTTTTTAAAGTTCCAGACTTCAAGTTTTCAGGTTTTTGTTTTAAAAAACTTTAGTCCGTGGAAGTAAATCCGATTTTCTCATTTTTGAAATTGGGAATTTGGATTTCTCAGAAACTTATTTCACTTCTCAGATACTATGATCTTTTTCTGCTTTTCCATACTTGTAATCCGGGCCTTTCCCGGGCCTTCGCGGGCATTGCCATTGTTTCTTTCAGAATCATTATTTTTAGACCAACTAAATCAAATATGATAGAGCTCGTCGAGTACTACAAAAGTGAATATTGCTAGATATTGCTAGATACTGAATATTGCTAGATACTGAATTTTCGGTTTTTAGATCGTCTTAATATTTTTAATTTCAGAATATAAGAAGGAGCGATTTTCAAAATTTTCAATTTTCATCCCAAATCACTTCGATTTCCAAAATTTCTGTGAAGTTTCAGTAAAATCACGTGAATTTCCAAAATCCCAGAACTCGAACCGTCGAGTTCTGTGAAAAATCCCAGAAATTGGAACGTTCAATTTCTGTAAATCACGTAAAATTTCCAAATTCCCAGAAATTTTGGAAATCGAAGTGATTTGGGATGAAAATTGAAAATTTTGAAAATCGCTCCTTCTTATATCAAAGTTTTAAGACATCAAAATTGAAGATAGGAATTTCGAAGATTTCAGAATTCAAAAAATGAAAAAGTGAAAGAACAAAAAATTGAATCTCTAATCTCTCTAATCAGAAGAACGAAAACCTCGAAATCCCAGATTTTCAGATTCTCCAAATTTCAAAAACCTGCAATTCTTATGCTGACATTTCCAGAAATTTTTCAGATTGGGGGAATTTGTGAATACCCTAAAACTTCAAACAGAATCTACTCTTCTCCAATCCTCAACTTCGAGCCTATGTATCTCATTTTCCGTAAAAAATATCAAAAAGTTGTCAACTGATAAAATGTTTATCATAATATCAAAAATATTTTATCAGTTGACCGCTTTTTGATATCTTTCACAGGAACCGAAATAATTGAGCTGAAAACAGGGCATTCCACCAGGCAAGATCGGCAGGGACAGAAATATTTTATCATATCAAAAATATCATATCAAAAAGAAATATTTTATCATATCAAAAATATTTTATCAGTTGACCGCTTTTTGATATCTTTCACAGGAACCGAAATAATTGAGCTGAAAACAGGGCATTCCACCAGGCAAGATCGGCAGGGACAGATTACCAAAGTTTCCATGATGGTTTGATTTGTGGTATGTCTCCTCTGGAACAAACAGTGATGAGAACGTCACGATAAAGGGAGGGGGATCGACGCAATGGACCGCCCGAAAGACCACCTGTGTCTGCTTCCCTCTCTCTCTCTCTCTCTCTCTTTTCGGGAGATTCGTCCTTAACTGGGTCATATCACGTCGTCGTCATTTCCTCGGTTCTCCTTAAAGGAATGTATTGTTGAAAACTTTTTTCCTTCTTTTTTGTTTTTGTTTTCTTCTTCTGCAAGGTGTTCGAATTATTGATTGATTACCGTACTAAACTTGGTATTTCCTGTTTCAGTTTATTTAAAACAAAATAAACACCACCATCATCATAATGTCACTTTATAATAACCAAAAAAACCATAATAGTGTAAAAAGGGGGAGAAACCGGATTTAGGACACAGGGCATTTTGGAGGGGTTGTTTTTTTTGGATGGGGTCTCATCATCACAAAATTTTTAGTTTTTAGTACTGCTTTGATTTTATTAGTTTGTAAATTTAATGAAATTTGGACCTAATTTAGACAGAAATGTTTTAATTTGCCCCCTGAAAATCTTAGTCGCTCCAGGAATTCTGAAACAATGTTTTTAAAATTTTGAGAAACTTTTTTGTGAGAATGTTATAATTTTTCAAGACCTCGAATTTGGAATCCCTCAAAATCTAGTCATTTTTAGCTGATTTCTAAGAAAAAGGTTATCTGGGCCGATTTCTTTCCCAAATCTCACATTTTTGGCCAGACCTAAAGTATATATTCTTTGAAGGGCTAAAAAAGTATTCTAGAACTTTTCAATGTTTGTGAAACATTTAGAGTACACTAAACAAAAAGAGAGCTTCATTTTTCTAGTTGACGACTTTTTTCTAAAATTTAGTCCTGAGGAGCACATCTCCTTAGAATTGAATTTTACGAAAAAGTTGTCAATTACAAAAATAAAGCTCTATTTTTGTTCAGTATGCTATAAAATTTTCAGAGAAATCGAAAAATTATGAAGTTATTTTGTAGAGCTTTAAACATCACTATCTTTCAACGAAAAAGTCAAAATAAGTTGTAGTTCTTTTGTGTACCGTACCACTTGAATTTCCTTGATTCTTGGAATTTTGAGACATAAACTCTAAGCCATTTTTCGCTGAATTTCAGAAACAAGGTGGTATTTTTTAGGTCGAGTTTTTGGTCACAGATACCTTACATGCTCTGTCAGAGTAGTATCTCTATTTTTCATATTCAAAATCATAACGAGACTCCTAGCTCATCTGGGAGCTTTGACCTGATTTATCTAGATCCATGGGAGAGATATCGAAAACCTGACAACTAATAAAATGTCTGTCATGTTATAATAAACAGTTTATTAGTTGACAGGTTATTGATATGTTTTATAGGAACCTAGATAATTGAGCTCAACGGTACGTCCTCAAAAATTGAGGAGACAAAGGGCCACCTTCAGATGTTATCTCTTTTCTCCCTCCAAATGATCCATCTTTCCTTTGGTCTTCGATAGTTCTTGTCCTATTTCCAACACTCATTATCAAAACCGCATCCATTGCTTCGTCATCTTTTCTCTCTTTACACACCGGTCATTTTCGTTTCGAACATAATAAAAAACGCCACCAGTGAAGATAGAGACCATTTGTCCCTGAATAAGAAGTCCTTCTTCTTCTTTTCTCTCTACTCGTTTTTCCAAACGAAGATAAAATCAAAGGACGATGATCCAATGGCATCATGAGGGATGGACGATGGAAAAAAGGGACCCCCTAGTTATCAGATATTACTATCTTTTTGCCTTCCATACCTCTTATGTATTGGTGACTTGTCTAGGCATCGATTTTCCATTTTTCGATTGTTTTTTGAAATTCAGAGACTTTCGAATTTTCACTATTCTCAATATTCTTGTATTGTTGAAACTCGGAAATTTTAAGAAATTGAGATTCTGAATTTTTTGGGATTCTCAGAAGCTTAAATCCTAAGGTTCTAAACTTGTGCACTTAAGAATTTATGGATTTCCTAGATATTGAGAGTCTGAAATTTTTAAAAAATTTCTGAGATTCAGAGATTCTAGGATTCTGAAGTTTTAGAATTTTTTCTGAACTTTCAGAATTCTGAGACTCTTAGATTTTTAGATTATCAGATTCTGAGATACTGAGATTGTGATGTTCTGAAATTCGAAAACGCCGAAATTCTGGGATTTTGGGATTTTCAGAATTTCAAGTTTTCAAATTTTCCTCTCAATTTTGATAGAAACTGTTTTTCCTTCTTCATTTTCGTCATACTTGTAAAATTCCGGGCCGGCCCGCCAAAGCAGCCCGGGCCGGGCTTGAGGAAAATTTCAAGGCCCGGGCCCGGTAGCAAAAATTTTGTCATTTTTTACCGAATTTTGAGCTCTCAATACAATTTTCTATATTTTTTTGTGCTTTTTGGATTGTTTGTCTGTTTGATCAAAAAATATCAAAAAAACTCGAAAAAAATTTTTTGATCGAAAAAAATCACATAAGGGTCCCTCCTTATGTGTTTTTTGAAAATTTCAAAACTTGTGGAATGACAGGCCCGCTGGGCCGGGCCGGGCCCGGGCCTCCGAAATTCGGGAAAAAGCCCGGCCCGACCCGGCCCGTTACAAGTATGATTTACGTTCCTTTAGATGTTATTTTCTGCCTATTTGACCTTCCTTCCTCCTCCCATCCCATTTCCTCCAACCCCAAAATCTCCCGTTTTTTTTTCATCTCCTTCTTCCTCAAATTAGTCAAGATTATCTAATTCCTTGTCGGTTTTCGATTTTCTCGGTATTTGATTTTCTCATTTTCATTAAAATTATTCTTCCAATTGAGGACAAGCAGTTCTCGAAAATCCGATTTTTTTTGAAGATTTCAATTTTAAAAGCTCTAAAATTTTAGCTGAAAATCTAAACGTTTGATTTTTAAATACAAAAAATCTTTTCCAGTTATCCTCCTACTCTAACTCCCCTCCTACTCTAATTGTAAAAGACTTCCCTCATACCGCCAACTTTGATCCCTTATAACTCATTTCCTTTATAAGATATCAAAAAGTGGTCCACTGGCAAAATGATAATCATAATATCAAAAATATTTTATCTGTTAATCACTATTTTATATCTTCCACAGCAACCGAGATATATGTGCTCAAAGTTGAAGGTTTTTCTTGGTTTCTAAAATCACTAGAATCTTAAGAATGTGAAATTCGTTGATTGAAACCATTAAAAAATTATCCAGACCATTGATAAAAAGTTGTTTGAACATGGCGTTTTTCTCTCCAATTTAATGAACAAAATTGATTATTTTTTATTGCATAAAAACAGGTTTTTTTATGTGTTGTATCTCCAATCATCTCTTTTTTGACCACCGCCTCACATATGTTTTTTTTTCGTTTGATTTATTATGAGTGGTTTGACCGTGATGTATGAACCGACACATTGGACCATAGTAATGTACAGTACCAGGCAAAGATATCACATACCATTTAATAAAATGAACCCCCCCCCCCCCCCCCTCTTCAACTTTCAACTTTGATCCAATTTATCTCGGCTTTTGTGAAAGATATCAAAAAGTGGTCAACTGATAAAATATTGGTAATGTTATGATGAAAATTTTATCAGCTGACAATTTGTGGTATATTTCACAGTAAATTAGATATATGTGCTCAAAGTTGCCGGTTTCGGGCGCAATAGAGCCAATTTTTGAAGCCCTACGAAAGTATTCCAAAACTGTTTAATTTGTCTAAAAATGAGAGTTCACTAACAATAAAAGAACTCCAATTTTGTAGAAGACAACTTTTTTGTAGAAATCCAACGAAGCGAGATACTCGGTAAAAACTGACACAAGTGCTAGTTTTAGCCCTTTAGTGGAATATCTCATCAGAATGGAATCCGGCAAAAAGTTTTAAACTACAGAAATAAAACTCGTTTTCTGTTTAGTATAATCTGAATTTTTCCGAAAGCAGTACCTAAAAATATTTCCACTGAAAATGTTCAGATTAAGATATCACTTTGTCCTATCCCTGTACTGTTTCATCGTCCGCTAACTGATTCAATTTGTCTCGGTTCCTGTCAATGATCATATAAAGGTGTCAACTGACAAAGTTTTTATCCTAATACCTAGATTTTCAAAGTTATGGAATAGGGTACATTGGTTCAGAGAGTACGTGCAGTTAATGCACTAAAAGAAGTCCACCCTATACCTTCACTATAAGCTCAATTATCTCGGTCTCCATGAAAGATATCAAAATTTGGAAATTATGAATGTTTTGATGATATTATGATGAACATTATATTAGTTGACAAAATTTTGATATAGTTGTTAAGAACCGAGATAAATTAGATCAAAGCTAGGAGGCCCTTCTAACCTACCCTAGCGTAAAAGCCCCGCTCCCACTTAGAGCCATCTTATCTTGTTTTCTGGTGGAGATATCAAAAAGTTGTCTACTAATAAAAAACTTAAATTTTATGGTAAATGTTTTATTAATTGAGGGCTTTTTAAAACCTAAAACAGATATCGAGATAAAGCGGGTTAAAGTGTGAGGGTCCCTTCATCAAAGTTTTAAGGAATTTGACGGAAGTAGTTACAGTAGGTACGTAGTTACTGTATTACTGTATCTACTTTTCTAGCATGAGAAGTTTAAATTTAAAAATCACCTATTGATTTCCTCAATCCCCCTTGACTGTTTTTTCCGCTCCGATTCCTCTCCTACCCAACCCAATCATTTTCCGATAACACATCACAAACTGAGCACCGTTTTCTCTCTCTCTCTCTCTCTCTCTCTCTCTCTCTCTCTCTCTCTCTCTCTCTCTCTCTCTCTCTCTCTCTCAATCACTTTTGCTTCGTTTTCTCATTGCGGAACAAAAGCGGACTATGTGAATTGAGCACTCTGTCTCTCTGTCTCTTGACGGTGCTCCGCGCCTCCCTTTCCTTCGTTTATTTGTCCTTTTGTCCAGCTAAGGGGGTCACTTCGGGAGGAACACAACTAAGATCAATCTTCAAAACTCTCTGACCTTCCAATTCATTTCACTCACTCGCAGTGCTTTTCCGTTTTTGACCCCCATTTTCCAGTTGTTTTTGAACCTACGTACAGTAATCAAATTGGAATACATTATCTCAGCTACAGTAATCCTGTCAGTTTGACTATTTCCATTGCTTCAAAATTTAAAATGCCTGATTGGGCCGTAATTCGAAAAATTGCTGGAAAATCAAACTTGATTTGGGGCTAAAGATTCTCAATTCGGTTTTTTTTAAATTTTGGAATTCCAAGATTCTAAAAGTCTGAGATTCTAGAAATTTGGAAATCCTGTATTTTCAAGTTCCGAAGTTTGAAACTTCTGAATTTTTGAAATTCTGAAATTCCGGGATTCTGAGATTCTGGGATTGCAAAATTCTGAGTTTCAAAGTTTTTACTCTTTTCAGCTTTTCAGAACTTGCAAAAAATTTCAGTATTTTAGAATTTCAAGTTTTCAGATTCTTCAAGAATTTCTATTAATATTCTCAAATTCCTCTGATTGTAGGATTTGAGATTCTGAGATTCTGAAAGTTCAAAAATCTGAGAATTAGAAATTCGGGAATTCCGATATTCTGCTTTTTGGTACTTTGAGCACCTAGTTCCCCTTAATAAAACCTGAAATCCCATTTTCTGTGTATCTGTGCATCCAGATGTCCCTGTCCCCAAGTCCCTGATTCCCCCTATTAATTGATAGTCTCGTCGTTGTTCGATTGTTTTGTAGACACACGCATATCTCCATTCTCTCTCTCTCTCTCTCTCTCTCTCTCTCTCTCTCTCTCTCTCTCTTTCTCAAATCGGTCACTCTCGCTGAAGAAACCTGTTTTCAAATCTCTCGCAATCCGTCTTGTCTCGTCTTTTCCTTCAACCGATTCAACGTCTTCTTCTCGTTCCCAGAAGAGACCGCCCGTTTAGAGGGACAGTACAAATTGAAAGTTTTTCCATCTGCAAAAAAAGTGTGTGTACTTTTTAGGTTGAAAATTTGAGACATTTTTTGATTGATTTTATGTCCTTTTTGGCTGAAAAAACGCACTTTGGTTTTTTTGGGTTACTGTAGATCTGGTTTTGTTGAATTCTTGGTTTTCAGTCTAGGTGTGAAAATTGAAAGTTTCAAAATCGTAGATTTTTAGAATCCAAAAATATCAGATAATGAAATTTCGAATTCCTGAAGTTCCGAGTTTCTGAGATTCAGAGATTCAGAGATTCAGAAATTCAGAAATTCAGAAATTCAGAAATTCAGAAATCCAGAATAACAAAATTTCAGAAATTCAGAAATTCTAAGAACTACAAAAATCCCTGAAATTTTAGAATATCAGAATTTTCTTCAAAAAATAGTAAAAAATGTAAAAAGTTGAGATTACTCAGCCTAGATTTTTTGTGATAAGGGGGGTTGAGCCTGGTTTATCAGATATTTTTTCCAGAGATAAAATCTCGGAAATCAATTTTTTGATTTTTTTTAATTTTACGACAATAAACTAATGTGGTGTTCCAAGAATTTCCGTTAACCACCGTTAAACCTGTATTATAAGATCCTTTCAATAGAAGGGCAGGCTCTTTTAATACAGGTTTTACGGTAAGTGGACATCTGGACCAACCTCCAAAAAGATAGAGATGATGGAACACCCCTGAACTAGTCAATCCCTTCTTTAAAGCCTCCTTATTCTTCTAAGCTTGTTTGTCTTTAATCCAAAGTTTATTTTGTTGTCTTCTCTTTTTCTTTTTTTCTGTTTTCCTTTCGATTTTTCCAATTTTAGAACTCTCCCTCTCTCCAGTTTTTCTGGCTCATTTTTTCCTGCTCATCCTCAAATTTAAATAATTTCAGAATTTTTAATCCTCTGAAAATCCTGTTGATAATTTTTGATTCTTAACACTGGAACACATAATTCTCTTAACTTATTTTAAATTTCAGAATTTCAAAAAGTTTGATTTCTTAAACTCAGATCCGTTCCATCAATCGATATCGTTTCGACCTGCAATTTCCGAAAAGACATGAAATCCCTTTTCTGATAACTTCAGATTTTTGGAAAATTTCTAAAATCCGAATTTCCGTTCCCAGATCCCTGATCTATCTCTAACCTCGACATCCAGACTATCCGAGAGAGAGAGAGAGAAAGCGTATCTAAATTCATTAATCAGATTGTTATACATCTATCAATGATTTGGGGAAGAATAAGAAGACCCTTCTCCTTCTCCTTCTTTTCCATCAATTCCGAACAGGTTGATCACAGAAATGTACAATCAATTCTCCCCTCCTTCTCATTCTTGTGATCACCTTCTTCTCCTTCTCCTTATCTCCTTTTTTATTCTTCTTCTTCTTTTTCTTTTAATTTTATTGATTTGAAGATTTCGAGAACATTCGATGAGTTTCGAAATAAATAGATCTTGTCTCTGAAATTTATTACTGATGGACCTTGTGATTTTGTTATCGTATGATTCCTTATCATTTGGTTTTTAAAGTCACCTTATGTTTTTTTGGGAACTTTGAATCTTGTACTGTATTTTAAGAATTCTGAAAATCTGAAAATCTGGTTAAACATTTCCTTTGTTCTGTTTTTTTCACTTGTTTTCCGTCTCTTTCAAACCTACAGTACCCCAATTTTCAGGCCCAGCCTCATTGCTGAAACCTCAAAAAAGAAGCATCTTCTCTAACTTTATATATATATATATATATTAATCCAAATACAAATCTATTTATTCCCACCAAATGAATCAAAAATTTTGAAAAATATAAAATTATCATGATTCTGAGGTTTCTCATATTCACAGCATTGGCTGTGACAACAGCCAATTCTAGTACACGACAGCAGGCGGCAGCTGCTTCGTCGGCTTTTCATTCTATTCAAGGTGAGTGTTTTTTTTGAAATTTAAGAAATTATTTTGAAAATCTGGATTTCTGAATTTCAGAATCTCGGGGGGTTAAAAATTTTTTTCGGAATTTCTGAATTTTCGAAATATCCCAATTTCAAAAAAAATGTTGAAAATCTAAACAATTGCAATTTTTTAAAAAAATATACCGTAGAACCTGTATTAGAAGGGCTGGCCTTTCTATTGTTCCAAGGTATCTCCGAAGAGCCCTTCTATTACAGGGGCCCAATTAGAGGAGGGCCTTCTATTTTTCCGACCAGTTTTTTCCAAAATTTGCGTCGAAAAACTTGCCGAAGTGTCGTTCAAAATTCATGAATCTGCCAATTTCACCAGAATTTAACAAGATTTTCATCGAAAAATAGAGTTTCAACAAATTTCTAAAAAATTTTGGGGTCCCTTCTATTTTTCCAAGACCCTCGAGGAGGGCCCTTCTATTAGAGGAGTCCATCTATTAAAAGAGCCTTCCTAACACAAGTTTTACGGTAGTTTCAACAAGAAATTGAACGAATTCTAAAATATCGTCTCTCCTATATTCCATAATATTGAGATTGTCTGCTAGGGTTTCATCAGAAGTGAGCTTGAGTTGAGTAGGCAATTTAATACTGTAATAGAATGTCCCCTAGCTCAAATTCCGTTTCTCTTGTGTTCTGTGAAAGATATCAATAGGTGGTCAACTAGTAAAATACTTTTCGTAATAACACCAATATTTTGTCAGTCTGTCACTTTTCAATATCTTACACAGGAATTGAGAAAAATTTGGTCAAGTTGAGGACCACAGACTTGTTTTTGAATATTATCATATTTGTACACTCAATATTAGCTTGTTTTCTCATTTCTGCGTCTCTCGCTCTCTCTCTCTCTCTCTCTCTCTCTCTCTCTTCGTCCCATTATTGAGACACTATTTGTGCTATGAGGTGTGCTGTTCCGTGCAACACCCCAAGACAAAAGTGCGCTCACGAAACAGTCTCCGAAAATTGAGAAAATTCAATGAGAGAAGAGAGATAGTGGGGAAACGAGAGACGCAGAGAACACAGAGTGGTCAGTTTTCGAACACCTTAACCTTTTTTGGGGGTTTTTTGGAGTGGGGGTGAGTAGACAGAGAAACTTATCACAAAATAGGGAAAAGTGACGTCGGTTTGAAGGGAAATTTTTGAAATTCCAAAAAATTAGGTGTCGAAAAATGTGAGAAAACAACAGAACTTCCTAAAACCATAAAACCCAAAAAACGAAAATCAGAAATTCCAAAAGTGCCAAAATTTTTAAATTTCATAAAATCCGAAAATCCAAATCTAAAATTTAAATTCTAAATCTTGAGAATGGTTTTTATTGATTTTCATTATTATAGATGTTTCGTTTTCTCCCAAAAACGTTTACAAACCGCTTCCTATTTTTTAAACATTTTATCCAAATTTTTCAAATTTTTTTTCTATAAAAACAACTAATAAATTATCAAAACCAATCAGCAATCACATGATCCTTCAGAAGGTGTCAACAACTTCTGATTCTTTCGTAAATTAAAATGTCATCAGAACAAAAAATACAAGTTTACAATGGTTTCTTTCTCAAACAATCATTCAAATTGGCGCCAAAAAAGAAAAAGAAACAAAAAAACCAGATTCTTTTGACCACAGAAGATTTGACCAATATACCGTGTCGAAACGACTAAATGGATATGTATGGGTGTGGAAAAAGACATGGAAAAAAGAATTGAGATTTTGTGTAATCGCCTTTTTTTAATGCTAAAGCTAGATATGCAAAAACTTAAAGGACAAGGGATGGGCAAAATTCAGAAATTCAGAAATTCAGAAATTCAGAAATTCAGAAATTCAGAAATTCAGAAATTCAGAAATTCAGAAATTCAGAAATTCAGAAATTCAGAAATTCAGAAATTCAGAAATTCAGAAATTCAGAAATTCAGAAATTCAGAAATTCAGAAATTCAGAAATTCAGAAATTCAGAAATTCAGAAATTCAGAAATTCAGAAATTCAGAAATTCAGAAATTCAGAAGTTCAGAAATTCAGAAATTCAGAAATTCAGAAATTCAGAAATTCAGAAATTCAGAAATTCCGGAAATTCCAAAAATTTCCAAATTCAGAAGTTCAGGAAGAAATCCAAAAAATCTAAATTTCAGAAACCCCCAAAAAATCAGAAATTTCGAAAATTCCGAAAAACTGGAATTTTTGAAAAACTCACAAAAATCAGAAATTTCAAATTCCGAAAATATTTAAAAAATGCAATTTTTTTCAAATTTCTGAGAATCCAAAAGTCACAGAATTTTCAACAAAAAAATACAGGAAAAAACATAAAAAATACAGGAAAAAACATAAAATTTTCAAACTTATAACATTTTTGTAAACATTTCGTAAAAATCCCAAACCCTTCAATTTCCTAAAAATGTAAAAAATTTCGAATGTTTTAAAGTTCAAAAATATCAAAAAGTTAAAAATGTTCAAATTTCAAAAATTACATAAAAACCACATTTCTCGAATTTCGGAAACTCCGAAAATTCAAAAAAAAAAATCACACTTTCCCGATTTCGAAAACCCATGAAAATTCAAACCTTTCAAATTCCAAAGATACCACGAGCTCAATTTTTCAAATTTCAAAAAAAAAAAGAAATTTAATCCAAACTTTCAAGTCCTCGAAAATTCCATAAAAATCCCCAAATTCTCCAAAACTTCAACTTTTTCAAAAATTCAAAATTTCAGTCGATTCTCCACCATCAGTGCGTTCTCGAATAATCTCCGCGTCTGTGAATACGGCGTCTTCAGTTTGCAACGAAAACGATTTCCGATGTTCTGATGGAAAATGTATTCGTGCCGAATGGAAGTGCGATGGATCTGGTGATTGCTCAGATGGAGAAGACGAGAAGGATTGTCGTAAGTGACCTAGTTTTTTTTAGGCCACTGAACATGGAACTTTTAGTTTAGGGTCCCCATGGGGAACTGCACATACAGTACCAGACAATAAAATAAACGAAAATGTGTCCAAAGCCAGGCTGTCAAGTTTCCGATCACTTTAAAAACTTTGCATTCACCGAATTTTTGGAAAATTCCTAGTTTTTCAGCTATTTGCCGACACCCCTTTTAGGCCCGTTTTATGCTGAAGATATGAAAAAAAAAGGTGTCTTCCAGAAATCGGCAAACAAGGAATTTTCAAAGAATTATATGAATGCAAAGGGTTTACACCCTCCAAAATTTTCAAAGGGATCTGAGAGCTCCAGACTCCTGAAAATGTTTGAAAATCAAGTGAAAAACACGCTTGACCGATACTGTATATAGCAAACTTCCAAGAATTGTTCCATGGCCTAGAAACCCCTGTATTGATTTTCTAGTAACCCCTTTTCCAGCACATCCTGGCTGCAAATCCGATCAATGGCAGTGTGACACCTACACGTGGCACAGTGTCTCCTGTATCGCCGAATATCAGAGATGTGATAATATCACGGATTGTGCCGACGGTTCTGATGAAAAGGATTGCCGTGAGTTATGGACATCCGGACACACCGACAATCTCTCATTTAAGCTGCTTCCACTGTCGACTGCAGCTCTCCGAACGTTTTCATGTGTGCCGATGGTCGTCAATGCTTTGATATCACCAAAAAATGTGATGGAAAGTATGATTGCAGAGATTTGAGTGATGAGAAGGTGAGTTTTTTGATGACCTAGAA